AGTGGTTTAGGTTAAAATAGATTGGCGATTCATTTATTAAATGCATTTTAAAATTTCTATATATAAGAGTCAGTTGTAAATCCATTTTATGGTTTGCGCGTAGTTTAGTGCATTTATTAGTGTTGTTATACAGTTCCATTTTAAAAACAGCTAACCAAATATTTTAGTCCAAAATATTACGCAAGTCTTGAAATTTTTCTCATAGATGGCAGAAATATTTGGGCATTTATTAACAAAATCTTGAGACTTGTATGATACTTTTTGGCTAAAATATTGGGTTAGATTTTTTTAAAAATCGAACCGTTTAACAACACTAGCATTCATATAATGTTAAATAAAGACAATTAGTCAACGGGCAACTCAAAAAATGATGCTAAAACTGACTCCTATATATAGGCACTTTTAATTAATAAATCCACCATCTAGTGGTTGTGTACATCATTGGTTGTATCATACCCATAAACCCGATAATATATAATATTCCTCATTTCTCTTAGAATGGTTCAGGCTTGGTTTAGGGTTAGTATACGGTATAGTTTAATACCGATTTAGCGGTTCAGATTTGATTTGTACCCTTGGAAAGAAAAGATTTATTGGTGGGAGAGTGTTTATTAAGGAAATATGAATATTTAGATTCATATTAAAGAACTATTTTATCTGAGATTGTCAAACATGTGACCAGAAACATAATCAATAAGTATCATTATAAACTAATGAGTTTGGTTTTATAACTGCTAGGATCAGAGTCTACATGAGAGAGGTTTTAAAAACTTCATAAAATATTTACTCCTATTACCCCTCCCCCCTCCCAATGAAAAATATTGCAGCTTTCGCTTGTAATATCCTTTTATTCCATAGTAGATGGATGATGTTAAGTAAAATAAAATTCTTAGGTTTTAGATATTTATTATAATTATTATCCATATTAATTGATCCATTATTTAAAATCTCCACAAAATCATACAGGCATAATAATTTAGAAATATTAAAATAATGGTTGGTGTTATTATCAATCCTTTTCTATAAAATAAAGTCAAATTATCACAAAATGTTAGTGAGTGAAAATGAATAATCATAATTTTATTCCTCATAAAAAATCAAAATAAATCTTTATCAACAAATTGGAATCTTTTTACCAATTATTTAGCCCTTAATTAACAAATATTATTTATTTTTACTCTAACCTTACCAAAGAAACGTGCATAACTCAAATTCTTTGATCACCCTCTAATGGTTCGGCGAAAAAAATTTTGATCCAAGCCTGGTCCATTATTTAAAAAATTAACTTCATAGGGACTTTAGCTAAAAATATTTATTTTAGATTTTAGCGTTTAAAGCATTAAATTTAATAATTCCGTAAACTTTGAAAATTTAATGATGTTTGTTATATTCGCTTTGTGAATATGTGATCGACGATTGTTAAGTATTGAATATAAATTATATTTTTATATAATTTGTTAGTTTGTATATATGTGATCGACGATTGTTAAGTATTAATTTGAATATGCAATCTAGGAATTTATTTTTTTTATGAACTTGAATAGATATGTAATTTTAATTATTTTTTATGCATACTTGTAATTTTTATTATTTTCTATGAATTTTTAATATACTTGTAATTTTTTTGCATATTAAAAAAATGTATATAAATGTAAAAATTTTAAAAGAAAAGCGGTGTACGGTTTTATAATTGAAGAAACTTATGGTATAAAATTAGAGAATTGGTTTCGTAAGATTATTAATCGAATTATTAATTTTTTATATATTCTTTTTTATTAATACTAGGTTTCATTAAATTCATTAAAGTCTCTCTTACGAGCCTTCGATAATTTGATTACAATTCATATTTGTAACATTTGTTTACCCATTTAATTCTATTTTATTAATAAAATTTGTCTCATGATGGAGACAGATCTTTAACTAAGCATTAACTTAGGATATTCAATTACCTGTATCACTAAACGATTTCATTGTTGTTATGTTCTTTGTGATTTTTTTTCTTATTGAACAATATATTTTTTGGTAATCAAATTATATTTCCACCTATCAAAAGATACTGATCAATATTATAAATGTCAAAAATTTACTGTCAAGAAATATCAAAAAATTTCTTAAAAATAATATAAGTATTAAATTAACCCTGTACGCACGTATAATAAAATAATAATTGAATATATAAACTCCAGGGACTTCTAGGCCACCTAAGCCAAAAATGTTAACTATTGGTGTATTACTTAATATTTGGCGAGGGGGATACGATTTTTATATTATATATTATCAAAAAATAAGATATATATAAATTCGATTTTTTTATTATTATGAATAGATTTTTAATTTATATTATATTTTATAAATAAGCCACAAAACACCATTGATATCTATAAAAATATAAATGTGAATTTAAGAAAATTTGATAAATCTTTCATAATGGGTAGAAAGCCCCCCCCCCACCCCACACACATAGCAAATTTTTTTGAAAAGATATAAATGTGCCGTGAATTGTGAATCGCAAAGTATTTTATTTCAATTAGGCTATATTCTATTCTAAATATTAGCATTATATTTAATTTAAATATTTCTTCCTTATATATTAATATCTTATCTCAGGAAAATTTAAAGTTTATTTTATACATTTTTAAACCTTAAACACTGATGGACATAAGAAAATTTTATAAACCAAAAAAATTCCATTTAGTTTATTTATATCAATAAATATGATTAGAAAAATATAATTTATTCTGAAACTACTTGTACTGCAGGAAAAAAGTAACTACAAATTGCATGCCCGACAATAAGGAGCATTCGACATCAAACTGTTACAGCATTTTTTGGATCTAGAAGAGGCTATTTTGTTAGATTTAATATGACTACCGATTTTTTTATTGGGGTGTTTAATAAATTATTTTCTACACAACAATTTTATGCAATATTTTTCAAAAAAGAGGTGGCTGGAATTATGAGAATCACGAATATTATTATATTGCATAGAAAACTAATGGAAAATATCGACCAAGAATTTCTCGAGATTTATGTCCTTGGAATGAACCCAAAATTTTATAAATTTGATATTCACAAGCAACGACTTTCACATACAAACCATATCTTTCCAATAATAACTAGGATTCTATTGAGGATCACTATAAAATAACCGTTTTTATTCCACGTTTGTATACTAGACTTAAATCAATTAACGATTTGTGATTCATCAAATATCTCCACCCAGTTTACAAATACTATCTCTTATAACCATGATATAATGATATATCAAATTATATTAAAAAAATAAATATTTCGCAAATTTAATTCAGAGGATATGAATGTATATGATAGTCAATTAATTTCAGAATTTAAATGGCATCAAAGATTAATTTTAGTCGATAATTCTTCAAGAAATATAGTGGGCATTGCATACTTTTAAATATATTTAATAAGTATTTCCAAATATTTTAAACTTACTGTATTTGGCAATGATACCAATTAGTGCAAAGACAAATGAGAGGACCTATTCTTCATTACAGAGAATAAAAAATTACATTAATATTGCGATATCTTAAAATCGATAGAATGAACTATCTTTACTTAAAATACATAGAAATCTAATCCCAAAACAGAGCAAATTATTTTAAAAAATTGGCGCATTCGCAAAGAAGATTAAATTTTTAGATCTTGAATACATTGAAATCTTTAAAGAACAAAATCAAAATAACACCTCATCTGTAAATAATAAAGGAAACCTAAATATGTGTAGAAAAGTAAATTAATAATGGTTAAGTAAAATAAAAAGTAAAAATGAAAAATTTTAATAAACACGAAAACTTAAAAATAATGGATTCAAAAAATTCAATATTTTAATTTAGGAGTACAATTTATTTATAAAAAGAGAAAATCTTAGGCGTTGCCATAAAATTTAAAAAAAGCCTAAATAAAAATAAAAGAAAGGTTAAAAAAATAAATAGTGAAACGCAGCGTCTACATGACAGGATTTTCACTGGATGCAAACCCCCTTCAAAAACCTTTGCCTACCCCCCTAAAAAATTCCCGCCCCCTTCGGCGGCGATGTCTCTTTATCATTATTTTCACCTATTTATTTATTGATACTCTTTTCAAATAATTTATAAAGGATAACTTAAATTAATCTATCTCTACTACCAACTATCGATATTTTGTGAAATATCTAAACCTTTTAAATTATATCTAAACCTTTTAAATTATATTTAAAAGGATAGTTTATTTGGAAAACAATGTGTATGATTGTTTTCAATATGTAGATTTGGTCGATGAATTGTATTATAATAATACTATAATAAAAGTATTAATTTTTACAGCAATAAATTTTGACAATAAATTTTGTCTTATTTCATCTCAAAATTTAATAGATAACCTCCAAAAAAAAATATCCTACCCCCATTAGCAGCTTACCCCCTACCCCCTCAATAGGATGCAAACTGTTCCTACCCCTCCCGCTCATGTAGACGCTGGTGAAACGTTAAAATGATGATCCACATATGTATTTGGTTATTCTTATTAGAATTATTCTTAATCCTCTCCTACCCTATCAGGCAGAAGATTATATCAAATCATATGCATATAATACAAGAGAAAATTAAATTTACTGGAACTGGAACATTATTCATTTTAAAACAAATTCTTATCATATCCGCAATGATTAAAATATTTTAAAAATTAATAAAGGAAAAACGTCAAAGAATAGAATATTCTATTTTAATAATTATTCTATAACTTTTATATAAAAATTTAACATTAAATTATTATCTAATAAATGTAGTTCAATATATTTATACTCCATATATTATACCTATACCTACCCCTAATTTCCATGATGATAGTCATAATGCCTGATAAAGGCATTATAAAATGAGAATCATTTGTATGATTAACTTGTAGGTTTCAACAAAATCAGCACATAAACGAATACCTTTTAAATATCTAGCTATCAATTTATAACTCTCATCAATGTGATTGAATCGATCTGTCACATTTATTTTCTATATAATCGATTCAGTTTTTTTTACAAACTTTATTTTTTATTTTATAAATTTTGAATTTTTTTAAAATATGTATCTAATAAATTATATATTCTAATATTTTAATGGTGCATAAAGACATTAAAACCTTGAAGTATGATAAAATTATAAACAAATATTGTATAAATATGTAGGGAAGGTATTTTGTTTGGAATGGGTAACCCATTATTGGATATTTTATCCCATGCTGATCAAGAGTTTCTAGATAAGTAATTAATTTATTTTGAAAATATTTTTTATAGCTATTTAGATACAAACTAGAAAAAGATAATGCTATTTTAGCAGAAGAATTCCATTTACCTTTGTAAAAAAAACATTTAAGTTTATTTTATGGTTTTAATTTTAAGGTATGATGAACTCTTTCAAAGAAGAGATACTGAATATGCACCAGGTGGTTCTACACAAAATTCATTTAAAATTACACAAGTGATTAAATAAATTGAACTCTCATTTATTTAATTACATAGTGGATATTAGAAGTTCCTCACTTGACAACATTTATGGGGTGTATTGGTAATGATAAATATGGAGAAATAATGAAAAGAAAAATGAATTTCTATGGAATAAATACTTTATATCAAGTTCAAAATGATATATCTACTGGCACTTGTGCAGTTCTTGTTGATAAGGATAAAAGGTCTATTATATGATATTAAAATATATTCTTTAGAGGTACATAAATTTTGCTTTAAATTCCCTATTATTTAAGTATCTATCTTAAATTTATATTCAACAAACTTGTTCTAAAATATATATGAAATTCCAAAATTGATAATTTTTTGAGTTAAGGACTATTTTATAAAGCTCTAACATCAATGATATCTATTAAGATCAAAACATGTGTAGGCCTGGAACCAGAGACCTGCAGGCCCTGCCCTAAGCCTGGCCAGCTGGGCTGGATGGGGCCTGAATTTTTTTTAAAAAAATATGCGGGCCAGGCCATATATTTTAAAACCAAATATTTGAAATCATCATTATTAGGCCACAAAAATTAAAAATAAATATAATATATTTTTTTTAAATCTTGGCCAAGCCTGAAAATATAAAACCTGGGTTGGGACAAAAAAAACCTGCAAATGTTACCTCTGCACATCTCTGCCTGGAACTTTAACCTAACCCTTATATCTACCTCCTTGGAAGCTATAAAATAGCAGTTTTATAAATCCAGATCTTGGCTTGAAAATATAAAAATGGACACACCCCCAGATGGTAATTAATTATAATTACATGATAAATCGACTGAAAATAGATGAATATTAGCATGAAGGATTTGGTTAAATGGCTCGATTTGAGCCAAATTCTAAAAATGGCATGATCGATTTGAACCAATTTCTAAAAATGGCTAACTCAATATTTCATCAGAAAAGCCTAAGCATCAAGATTCCTCTAATAAATATCCAACCCTTGGCACCATCTACAAGCAAAATTTTCAGGCTTGCGTAGTATTTTTTTTTGGATAAAATATTGAATTAGCCGATTTTAAAAGTCAGCTAAAATTGAGCACTTTGACATCACTACAATATATAAAAATTTATTTTATAATGCAAAATTCAATCATGCAGAAAAGTAAGAAAATAATATGATAGTAATTCTTTTCAAGGCACAGGCTAGCCCTGCAAGACTAATCTTTATATTATCAATTTTGGATATGCTAAATAATACTAGGTTGTTTTTTATGATTTTCCTTATATATTCTATCCGATTTGATAACCCTTTTTTTTTGAGTATTGAAAAATAAACTTTCACAAAAGATGTTGATACTATAATGATTAAGACAGCGGTACTGCATAACACATAAGCAACTGCTTTATGAACGTCACAACACTCATTTTAAGAAAATTACATAATTTTAAGATAATTTTCAGTAATATATTTATCTTGATAGTAATTGGCTCTGCTAATTCATCCACCAATATTGGCATAGCGATTTTTGTTTCTTTCTTTTAATTTAATGTGTTAAAATTAGAGGTCTACAAATAGCAAAATTTTTATGTTTAGCCTCGGTTGAATCTAGTTTTCGCCTGGCCCATCTAAATTTGAACCCAATCTGGTCTATTTCTGATTTTTTACTAAGATTGCCCGACGTGGTTTTTTTAAATCCAGAAATATATTCTATAAAAAAAATAACCAATAATGATGAGGATTTTGGTTTCGTAATTTCCTTATTAAAGCAATAAACGCAAAATGCAGGGAAAGGGAATCACATTTATGAATAAAGGATCATTAGTAGCTGGTTATTTAAATCATTAAAATTATAAGAAAAATAAAAATTATTATATTTACCAAAATTAAGGCTTTAAAAATAATTTTTTTTCTCTATCAAGCCCACTTAACATTTTTACTCTAATCCTCGACCGTTAATTTCAAATTAAAAAAATTTAAGATGGGATTGGTACTGGGTCGGTTATTGATTGGTAAATTAGCCAATGAAGTCAAAAAATTGAGGATGACATCTTTTCTTCATTTTTAAAATGGGATTTAATATATATTGACTGCCTAGAATATGAATTAGGTAGATATTTATGCAACATATTTAGGTAAAATGTAGATAATTTTTAGTAAATGACAGAATTTTAGGTTATATTTAATAAGTATTACTATCCCCTTAATCACGCGATCTACTTCAAAAAAAAAATTAAATAATTTCGAATTTTAATGAGACAAATTTTTTTTTCTGTAATTATTTAAAAAAAATTTTTATAGCCAAACAATCACAAAATAAATACTAGCCAAAATTTGTTTACTCCAGCAAATATTTTTTTTTACTATAACTAATGTTTATCATAGAGACAAGTGAAAAATATTGATCAAACAAATCTTGAATTTATATTTTCCTCGAATAATATTTCCTTTCGATATAATTGACTAAACATTACAAATTAATGTAAAGTCATAATTTATTTGACTTATGATTTGCTATCTATATCATTTTTCAAGAATCAGGATATTATAGTAAAATTCCTCGTCACATAATTTATAGCATTATATGATTTCCCTTTTATCAAAATGCTTAATGTAATTTTAAAAAAAATATAATCTTTTTAAAAAAAATTTAATTTACGACCTTTTTATCTTTTGTAATAAAATTATATATCGTATGTGATATATGTATTCATTTTCATTTGCCAATTTTGGTTTTTAAATATTTCTTTTAATGAGTTAAGAGTCAAAAATTTTACAATATAGCTACCGGATATTTTTCATAGAATAATTTTACTTTATAAGACGTCAACTTTGCATTACTCGGGGAGTAAAATTATTTGAAAATAATTATTATTTTCGCAAAATAATGAAAATATTTTTTATATATATATTATATTATGATGAAAGATCCTTGTGCGCACATTTGGGAGCAGCAAAAAATTTCTCTAAAAATTTTTTGAACGAAAATTTGAAGGTCATGCACCACGCCGAATATTTTTACATATCGGTAACAATTTAATCTTAAATTTGCAAAATTTTATTTATATATATTATATTTAGAACCTTTTGGTTATCGGTCCTCTAGTTTCTTCGTGAACGAGAAAAAAAAATTGACGCTTAGATGTACCTCCCTACCCTAAAAAATATACTCCTCACCCCCTAAAAGTAATATGGGGGCAAAGGTTTCACCACCCATTAATGTAGAGTTACTAGGGATCTGGAAATCCCGGAAGGTTTCGGGCCTAATTTTTTATTTGTTGGGATTCAATTTTTAAGTATATTATATTTTGTTATATTTTTAATTCTTTCAAGAAACAAGGCGCAAACATTTTTATTTATAATTTTTTTTACAATCAAATAAAACATTAACTTTTTCGATATATTTAAATAAGTTCGGGCGCGAATAAATAATTTTTATGATCAGACTTTTCGGGACAAATAAAAAAAAATTTTGTTCGGGATCCCGAGTAGGGCAAATTTTTTTTAAAAATATTTCAGGTCGGGCCGGGTTTTAAAAATTAGGCCCGATGTAGATCACTAGTATACACTGTATCACCCCACTCTGATAATCGTTTGTTATAAATTTTACCTTTCGATGAGATATTCTAAATTATTCAACTCCATTTACTAAATCTATTAACAACATAAATTGATAGTTTAATTATTTCCGAATGACCAAACAACATAGCCTATTCACAGTTAGTTTTTTATGTTCACTTCACTTTTGTTTCTCGCAAACATACATCTAATACATCTTCGATTATATCATTTCAAACCTACTTTATTTCTTTTCACGTTCACTCTACATTAGACCTATTTAAAAATAATTCGATTCGAATCGAATAATTATGAATACGAATAATAATTATTTGTTTTATCTGAATACGAATAATCATTTATTCGATTCGAATAAAACGAATTATTCGTAATATTTAATAAATTGTTTAATAAATCTAACATTTGTCATTTCTATTTGTTGACCTGCCAATCTGACAGGTGATGTGTTTGTGTTTATAAAAATTCTAGCACAAATTTAAATTTCTAGTGAAAATTTAAATTTTTATTTGCCACATTTTTTGAATCTCACGAAAAGTTTATTTTTTGAATCTCATAATAAATTATATTAAAAATTACATAAACCAGAGGTATATAAAAATATATTTTATCTCTACAATAATTATTGTTACCCTAATTATGTTAGAGGAGAATGCTTCTGATGAAATTATGCTTGATGTTGAGGATGAGAAAATTTCCTTACAAAAGAGAGCAATCATATGGGATCAATATCAAATCCTTAAAGACGGTGAAAAGGTTGCTTGCAATCATTGCAGGAGTATTATAAAATGTAAAGGCAAAACAACATCTCCTCTTATTAATCATTATAATAGGTTTCATTCACACCTTAATAAAAAAAATAATAAAATTGACATTTTTTTAAAGTCTACACCAAATTCTTCAAAAAAAAATAATTTAAAGGATAATTTATTATTATTATTGATAAATAATAATATACCTTTATAATTATTAATTCAAATGATTTTAAAAATTTTATAAATGATCTTGATTGTTCTGTCAAATCAATATGCTCCAATACTCTTAAATTGCACATGTATAATATATTTGCAGAAAAAGAACAGTTGGTAAAGGAAAATATATAAAAATAAAAGTCAGATAATTTTTCATCTGACATTTGGACTAGCAACACAGGTTCCTTTTTTAGGGCTAACAGCCCATTTTATTGATGATAGTTTTAAAATAAATAACATAATTTTGGTTGTCTGTCCAATAAATGAAACACATTCAGGTGAAAATATATTTAAAGCCTTTGTTAAAATAATTAAAATTTATAATTTAGAGGATAAAATTTTTTTATATAACTTTAGATAATGCAACTAATAATAAAACATTTATTGATACATTTTCTTTAAAATATCCATTAATAAAAATAGGGCACATCCGATGCTTTGCCCATGTAATTAATTTAATATCCAAAGATATTTTAAAAATTTTAGATCCTTCAATTCTAAAACTAAGAAACATTATTAGAATGATTCATATGTGGTGGAAGGCAAATGCATATCGGATCCCCATACTCTCGTAAATGGCAAGGGATTATCTATCTATACAAGGAACATCAACTGCTTGTGAAAGGATTTTCTCAGTCTAATTTATTAAAAAACCGCATGTCATATAAGGAAGAAAATAAAAGAAAAACTCTTTGCCTTAAAAATTGGCTTTAAATTATAAATTAAATAAATAATATACATTTTAATTTTGTTTATAACTTGATTATATATTATTTATTATCAGATTATTGATTACATATTATAATCTTTTCTGTTTAAAATCAAATTTGTCAATATATTTGAGTATGATTTATTTTATTAAAAAAATTAATTCGAAATATTCGAATCGAATACAAATAGTAGATTTTATTATTCGCACGAATTCAAATAGTAAATTATTCGATTCGTTTAAACGAATCGAATATGAATAATGCACTATTCGATTCGAATTCGTTTTTGAATAGGCCTACTCTACATATATCTTACCTTATTCCTTCAGATGCCACCTACTATTGTCAATCACGGTTTCTTAATTCAAGATTTTCACTTACCTTTTTCACCCCTTCTTTTAACCAATTAACCATTTCTTCCTTGCCACACGTCAATATACTATGTAGTCGCTAAAAATCATTGCCCAAGGGGGAGTCATTTTCTTAAATTAAATCTAATATGCAAAACCCTGCATTGACAGTTAGAGCGAACTCGCCATAAATCTGTATTTTGGCAATTCATCAAATTTCATGTAAAAACCATTTATTTGGTGTTGGCATGGGCACAATGGCAAATAATACTTACCTAGACCTAAGGATTCATTCATTAAAATGCATTTTGAAGCGTCCATGGATGACACACCATTTTAGTATCCCTTTTCAATATTTTGTTTATTATAATATAAATTAAACTGATTGTTTTTTATAAAAATGGCGTGCCACCAGCTAATTCTACTCATTTTTTAGAGTGAAGGGTAATAGATATCTACTAAAAAAAACTGAAAATGTAGATAGGAAATCCCCCGCCTCACCATTGTTTACAGCAATAGATATTGAGTAAAATAGTAATATTAAACAAATCGCAATTTTAATTCGAAAATGTATTACCATTGAGTGAGATGGCGTGAAAATAACTCGAGTAGTTCGGTGGGGCATAGCTTACCTCCATTTTTAAAATAATATCTCATTCAACATTTTTTTAATATTAGCCATGTTCAAAATCTTTTTTAAAAAATTTATAACTTTTAGAAGCTTTAAAATTTTAATGAAATCGTAGGTTAAATTTTGAAATTTAGAATTATATTTTGGACAATCTTTATTCTTATATTTTAAAAAAAGCTTCTTCTTTTTCGATAAAATTTTGAATGTTTGCGAATTTAAATTTTTTTTATATTTTGGACACGAGCCATTAGCTTTGATATTTTAGAATTTTTTTTGAGTTAATTATTCAATTAATTATAGTTATAAGTATTTTAAAAAAATGAAGATTTGGTATCATATAAAAAATAATTATGAAAATTTTTTATAAAAGTGGTATAAAATCCTGCAAAATTTCCTCGAATAATGAATCTATAACCATGCAATAATTAAATTTTAATTATTATTTAAATTCTTGTTTTAAATTAGAAAGTGCGTTTTTGCTTCCAAAAAATTTTTCTATCTTATAAAAATTATATTACTCGAAATTTTGCAGAAACATAGTTTAGCCTGACACATGAGGCTAAATAGACCAGATCAAAATATCAACAGTCATTTTTTTTGTAGTAACAATTTTTAAATATCTGGTGTGCTATCATCTCCCAGTAAACCATTCAAATGCTAGATGAATTCCTCGATTTGCAATTCGATATGCATTTAATATTGTAAGGACATAAAAGGGATTTTAAAATTTTCTCATGCAAGTATTGCATTTATCTAATTCACAATTAAATGCTTTATCTAAACAGGCAAATTTACAATAACATGATATATTATATAAAAGACTAGTTTGTTTCTTTCTTTCATCAATTTTCTAACATCCCATCTATAGCATCAGATATCAGGCATGATTTTAAATTAATTTTCTTTTTATTTTTTGACTCTTCGCGCTCACTAACGCCGACATTTTTGACCGAGAACCCCTATGAAACTAAAATGTTGACATTAAATAATTTATTATTTAATTACAAAGTCCAAAACATCAAAAAATTAAATTAACAAACTTTCGATACTATAATGAAAATTAAAATTAATAAATTAGCTATTTTAAATATAAAAAGAAAAACATGTCCAAAATATAATTCTAGAAAATTTTCGAATTTTTTATAATGGTTTTGGACACAGCCTGGAAAAAAGAAGAGTGATTTGTATAATATTTTTTTTAAAAAATATGCAATTAATTTATTTTTAAAATTAGAAGACAAATACAGGGACACAAGGACAGATTTTTTTTAATGCTTAGCCCATATATTCGCTAGTAATTAAAAATGCGTATATTCGCATGTTTTTATTTTGGCAAAATTTGAGCAATATAAGCGGGTAATGATATATGACGTTAAACTTCTTGCTAAACAACGACCAAAATTTATTAAAATGTAGCAAGATAAAGTTATTTTTTATTGACGAAATCACTTGATCGAGTCCGATCTACTATATATCATATCCCCAAGGACGGAACCACCAAGTTAGCATAAGAAAAAAAAAACATGACCCTTTCTGGATTCGAACCACGAACGATCGGATTGTAATACACGTACTGAACCGATTAAGCCACATACGCTTCACAAAATCATCATATTTTTTTTATATAAAAATAAGATTACAACGCTATCTAATATTTTAATAAAACACATAAAAAATCAACGTTTAACCCCGCTATGCATCATTACTCCAATATAAACATACGTGTGTTATTTCATTTTTTTACTCGTATTATGACGTATTCGCACACTTTTTTTAATTAATTGTCAAGACGTAGGTTTATAATCATAAAAAAAAATTGTTAGAAAATCTATCCTTTAATATGTGTTTTTTTATTACTAAATATATTAATAATTTAATTTACGCCTGAAGATTATCATATCTTTTAAAATCTAGACATTATTTTTTTTTGAAAGAATTTATCGATGAAAGACAAACAAGGCTATTAATCTTTATATACCGATAATGTCAAATTTGTATGACGTAAAAAAGAAAAACAACCTAAGTTCTATTTAACATTTTGGACATATATTTTTTTTTATAATTTTTGTTTCTTCTCTTTAACTGAGAAATATAATTTTTAAGTTTTACCTTAGGTCTAAAAAAATAAAATAATTCAAATCTTGTGATGATTTTATTTTCGTAAGTGACGTAGGAATTATTTATTGCGTTTTAATGAAATTTATGATAATACTAACAGATTTTTTTCAAAGAAGATAAAAAAATATCAAAATTTATTTAAAATATTTGTTAGCTAAAAAAGACAATCATTTTGAAAATTTTTGTTAAAAAAAATTTAAAGTGACGGCAATGATTTATACTAGGTTGTTCATATTCTTGATATAGCCTTTTTTAACTCTTTCAGATGCGAAAAAAAATGTCAGGATCTCCTAGCTATACCAGAAAGCGTAGCGATTTTTTTTTAATAGGATGATTATATAAAGGGGAACGTTGTTTTTACACCTCCATCTTATTTATCCTGTTTTAAATATCTAAATTAATAATTGTATAGCTTTTTTTAAAACATAATCTGTTTTTAAAATTTATATTTTTTAAGTATAAAAAATGAGATGTTGGACTCATTCCTGTCTCTAATATAAATACTAGAGATGACTCGTATAGTGAATTAAGAATGATTTAAAATATTTTTTATTTCCTACAATAAAAATAATCTAAATTTTATATTATATCTGAAAGGTTAAAACATTTAACAATAATACTTATCCAAGTCTATTTCTACACTGTGAGTGTGACATTCTTATTCGCTTTTCTTACATAAACAAATTTCCCTTAAAAAATTTTGAGGGTTAAACGGCTCGCTTTTTTAAAACGGCTAACCCATTAGCTAAAATATATTTCGTAAGTCTGGATATTTTGCACATTGAAGGCAACATCTATTAACTATATTTCGAGGCTTACCCAATATTTTTGGCTAAAAGGCGATACTATTTGAAATTATCGGCATTTTTTTTTGTCAAAAAATAATTTCATTGTGAATCTATTTCATGCCTTGAATTCAATATCCACCGTAATTTTGCAAGCTACCAATATTAAAATTCTTAGATTTAACATTCCGAACAGCATTTTTACACAAGCTAACTCCATGCGCATCACCTTGGAAGGAACATCTTATCCAATATTTAGCGATTTTATTAATCACCTTTTCCTGATACCAAATTTATTGCCTTTTGTCCCCTACTAAGGTTTATTAAATAAATTTCTATTGTTTTGTTTTAAATATTATATAACACTAAATAATTATATAAATTTATTTGTCTTGTATTCACAATTCGTAATATTATCCATCCAAATTTTAATAAACATAAGATAATTTTAAAAATATTTTTTCATATCTTAAAATTAAAAAGGGATTTTTTCTGGCAGTGTGCCCCACATCGATTTTACAAGTGGCTCAGCATGCTTTACAACACAACAAACTTTTTATGATGAATCTTTCCGCTAAGTATCTTTGTGAATGTTACAAAGAACCTATGATGATGGCTTTTCCTTACATTGATATTCTTTTCGGCAACGAATCCGTAATAATTATTTTCCAAACACTATATTCTTTTTTATTTTTTAAAAATATATTATTATTTTTTTAAAAATATATATTATTTTTTTAAAATAATATATTATTTTTTTTAAATATATATTATTTTATAGGAAGTTAGATCTTTTGCCGTAGAGCACCATATCTTGGAAGTAAATATATTTTTTTTATATACAAAATTCAGACGATACATACTATTATATACGATTATGGTCAAACTCAATAAATTATTTTTGATCACATGATCCAATTTGACAAATTATTAATAAAAATAATTAGATTTTATTAAAAAAAATTTCATATGTCTAAACCATGATCTATATCTCTAACCTTTAATCCTTCATACTTGATTAACTTGAAATTATTTCATTCATAAAAAAAATTCCTTGAGTTGGGTTATGATTATTTTATAACTCCTGAAATATAATCCCGCAAAAAAAACAAGTATTTTAAAAGCGCACCATAAATGATTTAAGTCTTAAAGATTTAGTAAAAACTAGGATCAATGAAGCCATAATTCCGGAAAGAAAAGAAAGATTGCTAATTCATTAATTCTTAATGTATATGTCTCCATTTTTTATTTTAACCATTTAGGAAGATCTGAAAACAGTTGCTTTGAAAATTAGCCAGTTCCCCAAAAAGAACAATAACAGAAGTAGATTGGTAATAGTGACTCGCGATATGAATCCCACGATTTTGGCTTCTGGTATATAGTACTATATTTTGGGATTATTAATTGTTTAAAACAAATGATAGAGGGGTTCTAATTTATATGGAGTATCGTTATTTTAAATATAAAAACAGAAAAAAAACATGCTTTTAATGAAATATTTTCTTATAAAAAAATGAGCGAGCTGTATAATAATTGTGTTAATGAATTTCAGCAAAATAAAAATTTGCAATAAAATAATGGTAATTATTTCCCATAATATTATAGAAATAAAAAAAAACGTTTCCAGTAAAATCTTGTCGTATTATTTCCCTCAGAAAAATTCGCTACCTCTATTCTATGTTCAGTTTTTTTGTTCCTTAAAATGTTAATATTATTTTTGTAAAAAAAAAAATTTTATAAGTAAAAATTTTAATTTTTTTGTATAAAAAAATATCTCAAAATTTTATAAGTAAAAATTTAAATTTTTTAGATATAAAAAAATATCTCAAAATTTTTTCAAACTCAACTTTTTACTCTACTTAAGCTCTAATCTATTTTTGATATAACTTGTTCTCCGATTTTTGTTTTATGTTTGTTCATTACATATTTTTTTTAATATCTAAATTAGTGTGGTAAGATAAAGCTAAACCCTTATTATTTAAATAATTTTACTTATGAAAATAAAATAAAGAAATATTTATTCACCCTACCCATTTGTCTTAGCAGGCAATTTAAAAAATGCACGAACTCGCGCATTTTGTAAAAATATCCTTTTTTATTGATGCGCAACGAATATTTGTCAACATTTACGTCTGTTGATATTATTTACAAAAATGCGAATATAAGATGCCACGAATATGCATATTTTTAATTTGCTAGCGAAGAAAAAGGCAGAAAAATACCAGGGTAGGACAATAATAAATGTTCATACACTTTATTAGATTATATATAATCGGTGTTATTAAGTTAGACACACTACTTTACAAAACTTATAAACTAGCCCCATTTGCAAGTAGTGATGCAAAATCGCTTCTTATGAGCTGATTTTTAAAAACTTAGTATTTTATCGAGAAAAATATTATGCAAGCCTCTGGATTTTTCATAGATGACCTAAAGGTTTAAACATCTATTAGGGAAATCTCAAGGTTTAGGCAATATTTTTCTGGCTAAAATAATTGAGTTATTCTTTTTTTAAATCGGCTTAAATGTAGCGATTTTGGATCAGCTGCAAGGTTTAATTTTTTATAAATATAATTAAGCTTAAAATTTCTTCAATACAATTTAATGTATATAATCTCCATTATCAAAACATGATCGTTTTCATACTATCTTAATGAATTTAAATTTAAGGAGACTATATAATGTAATGTTAATTTTTTGCAATCAACCATTATCGAACTCGGAACATCCGTAAAAGCCATTTATTATATATATATATTGCTTTTCTCGAAATTTTTTTTAACTTTTAACAATAAAATAATATTCATGCATCTTAATATAGATATTTAAATTAAGGTTTTCATTCGGCTATTTCAACTATAGTTTTAAAATTGAAAGCTGGACATAATATTTATGTAACATACTTATTTCAATCATTTAGCTTACATTGAATAAAAATTTATGATATATCCATTACTATCATCTGCATATTGATGGTACTAAACATATAATTTGCTAACATATTTAATTTTAATACAATAATAATTTCCTTTCTAAGTGTCAATAAAAAAATAAGGACTGAGTTCTCAACTGATAGCCTTATCATCTTTTCATAGAGTGGTCTTAGAGTTTTTTTATATATATAAAGAATTATATTTATATTAGCAGATAACCTGTCAGGAATGATAAGGAATAATATATTTCTCCTTTATTTGATGGTGGTTATGTATGAATCAGAAATAATTTATGAGGTGTGATTCAGAAATTTATCTTTGTTTTGATGAGAGCTTATTTAAATTTTTTATAGTATATATATATTTTTATAGTACATTCAATATGAACAAATAATTGAACATATATAAATCAGTGGTTGGCCAATGACAAAATTTCAGGCCTGGCGCAGTGAGAATTTAGTTAATGCCAAACCAAATTTTTGTATAGCCCAGGCCAGTTTCAATTTTTTACTAAAGTTGTCTAGCCTAGCACAATTTATAAGTTTTTTTTTTAAATACAAGCCTAAACTAAAATATATGTTGTTAAACCTAAATAAACTAATTATGATCTTGTGGAGTAGTTAAATTAAAAACACTATATTTTATTCATCAAATAGATATATATAAAAAATTTGCATAGCCTGGCCACTTAATTTTTTTGTCTAGCCTGCCGAAATGTGAATATACATAATATCTAAGAATGTCTTTATGTGCACAATATAAGATTATTATTATATGCATTTTAATACATTGTAATTTATAACCAATCTTGCTAGGTAAAGAGTACAAAACCTATGTTTGTTTAATAAGCCCGGGTAAACAGACTAACTCGTATTCTAATTTTTTTAATATATCCAGGCCAGGTCTAAAAAAAAAATTTCTCTATATTTTAAACCGTTATTAGCTATAGAAATTAAAAATAAATTTTAAAAAAATACGACAGAGCCAAAAAAAAAATTTTTTTTAAATATGGGCCAGGCTGAACCCTGAAAATATAAAACCCATGCTGGGTCGATAAATTTTTTTTTAAGGAAAATTAAAATTACTAAATATATGTATCCTTTAGATATTTTATTAAAATAATGGAAAATTTTAAAATAACCCTTCATCTAAATAAATTTGTAGTAATACCGACTACTATTTATAAACAATACGACTACTAATTTATATTTCAATTTATTTCAAACATCAAATTTATATTTATTAATTTTCGAATATTCTATTCTATTTTTATATATAATATCTATAAATAATATTTTATTAATTTATTACATTTCCTTCAAACATTTTAAAGTTAGATTTCTTCAATAAACCTCTTTGTAGGTTTACGGTTTCTTGATGAACAACGTAATGTGGTATTTGTGTTTGTATTTGCTTCATTCACTGGCACAACCATTTCTGTAACTTTCAAAGAACTTTCATGATTTGGGATAACTAAACGATTTCTTAACTGATCTGCATGCTTCCGTAATGTTTTCCCGGAAGATTCAACAATATAAGAATAAAGTCCTATTCTTTCTTTAATTACTCCCTCTCTCCAACCATTGTTATTTTCATTATTTAACCATACAGGTTGTGAGATTTCAAATTCTCTTTCCTTTGAATTTAAATCATGATGAAGGCTTTGTCTATCACTGGCCTTTACTATTTCGTGTTCGGCATTTGGTCGGATCCAATCCAGACTTGTTTTCAATTGCCTCCCAAACATAATTTTAGCAGGAGATCTCCCTGTGGAGCTATGCTCTCCCAATCGGTAGGTTGTTAAAACCTGTGTCATAGCTTATACGGGATCGCTAATTGAATCTCTCGTCACATAATACCGACCTTTCAAAGTTCGTACTGTACGTTCAGCTAATCTATTAGTTTTTGGATGATAGGGTGCCGAACGTATATGACGTATGTTATTTAAATCACAATACCTACGGAATTCCCCAGATAAGAATTGTGGTCCATTGTTTGACACAATGTACTTGGGTATTCCAAACCTAGCAAACCATTTTTTTAGTCGTTTTATCATATCATCAGCAGAGGTATTCTGCATTAGATCAACTTCTAACCATTTGGAGTAGGAATCGACACCAATTAGCCAATATCGCGAATCTACTGGTCTAGCAAAATCAATATGGATTCGCTCCCAAGATTTTTTCCCAACAGTCCAAGAATATAGAGGTACTTCTTGAATACTAGGTCTATTTTTCTGGCATCCAGAACATATTTTGATAAAATTTTCTATATCAACATCACATCTGGGCCACCAGCAATACAATCTAAAAATAGATTTCATTACATTTTCCCCAAGATGTCACCGGTGAATCATTCCTAACACTGCATTTCTTTTATTAGGAATAACCAATCTCCCATTCCATTCTATAATATCACGATTGACAGAAAGCTCTTCCCGTCGATTATAAAAATTAACAATTTCTTTATCTTTATGACGATCAAAGTTTCGCCAACTTTGCTGAATATGTATTGCTACTTTTTTAATATTAAATCTTGCTTCGACTCTTTTCGTATAATATTTTCTGACAGTTGCATATCATCCAAATTAATACTTCGAATATCCAAAGCATGTTTAGAATCTTGATTCTCTTCCGAAATTTCTTGGTGTTTATTAATCAAATCTTGAATTCTAGAATCTAGTGTTATGCAACATTTTTCTTTTTCAATATTGTTGACCAAATTGCGTACTTGTTTAATCATAACCTAGGCATTTCTCAATTGAATGCTATAATCCATGGTAATCCGAAATAAAATAGGAAAATTTCTGATTCATGAGAAATTTATTATTCATCCATGATGGGGGTAGGAGAAATTTTTTGGGGGTTATCTATTAAATCTTGAGATGAAATAGGACAAAATTTATTGCTGTAAAAATTAATACTTTTATTATGGAATTATTATATACAATTCATCGACCAAATCTATATATTGCAAACAATCATACACATTTTTTCCAAATAAACTATCCTTTTAAATGTAATTTAAGGTTTAGATATTTCAGCAAGCTCATAATGCCATAATAATTAATTCATTGTAAATAATGGAGGTTTTAATTGAATTTATTATCTAAAAAATAAATTCTTTATATTCACAAAATATCGATAGTTGATAGTAGAGATAGATTAATTTAAGTTATCCTTTATAAATTCTTTGAAAAGAGTATCAATAAATTAAATAGGTGAAAATAATAATAAAGCGGTAATTTTTTAGGGGGGTAGGCAAAGGTTTTTGAAGGGGGTTTGCATCCAGTGAAAATCCTGTCATGTAGACGCTGTCAGCTAGTAATATATTTATTTTGCATTATTCTTGCCATATTTATTTTGTTTTAAAACATTTACTCAAAAATAAAAAAAAATTGAGGGATTTTGATCCTGGAATTTTCTGAAAATGCTCACAGGATTTTTGAAAAAATTGTATGAAAAATTCCAAATAATTTATAAGTAAATATTTTGTGATTTTTATGCATAAGAAATCGATCACGAATTTTTGTAAAAAAAAAATCTTAATTGATCTTCCAAGATTTTTGTTCAAAATTTTGAGCGAAAAATTCTTAAAATGCGCATTTGACGATTTTTGTTAAACCCAGTTTTTAAAAGTAATATCTGCCTATTAATTAACCTTACTAAAAATAATTTTTAACTTAGCTAGTCTAATCCTAAATCATCTTTATTTATTATTTGCGTAGATAATATACTTGAAGAATATCCGGTATATCCTATTGACCAAAAAAACATTGTTGACACAAATGGTGCTGGTGATGCATTTGTTGGAGGTATTATGTTTTTTAATTATAAATTTTTTTAAGCTAAAATTGAATTTATAACTTAAGACTACATATCTCTTTTCCCTCATAAAAAAATGTAAGTTTTAGTCTATAGAAATAATTATAAAAAAACTAATACATATCATTAATTTACAAAAACAATCATGTTTAGGTTATTTATCCCAACTTATTCAAGGGAAAGGATATGAAGAATGCCTAGACTATGCTCATAAGGCTGCCTACATTATCATTCACAGGTCTGGTTGTACTTTTCCAGAAAATATGAAATTCGATGACGCCCTAGACCAAATAAAACGCTCAGAATAATTGGATAATTTATTTTCACGCCTATTACCAACAAAATAATTAACTAATGTTATTTATCAAATTTATATATAGTGAATAAAGTTTTTTATAACATTAGTTTATATATATTTAAATAATGGGTTTAAATGGCTATTTTTATAACAATTAATAAAATTCAGGATTTATTGTAATTTTATTGAATTGAACTCGTGCTGCCTGATAAAAATTTGCCCATAAAATCTTTTGGTTTAGGATTTTCTGTATATTTAAAATAATTCATAACATGGCATCCTTGTTTCCACAAATTAAGCAAATCTGCTAGATCATTTTCTCCCTATGTTATTTTAAATTTTCAAAAAAAGAAATATTATTTTTAACCAGTTTCGATAGTGTGACCAATATTTTGTATTATGTAATATTAAGTTGGCCCAATTGGTTGTTAAACGACCCTGATTTTAGCCAAAATAATATTATGTAAGCCTCAAGATTTGGGAAATAGAAGTCTAAACTCTTCTGCCATCTATGAACAAAATTTCCGCTTACATAATATTATTTGCTAAAATCTTAATTGGGTCTTTTTTTAAAAATTGACCCAAATCGGGCCGGTTAAACATTGGCACTGACAAGTAGGAATGTAAGACAGGGGAAATTTTCCATATTTCTGGAAATTTCCCCTATAGTTTCCCTAATTTTTATAATAGGTTTTTTTGCCTAAATCAACATGATTTTTATAATATTAACAGTTTCCCAATTTTGAAAATGATCTTATGATAAAATAAATACGATTTTTATTAGATTTTATAAAATCATTTTTTCCTCGTGGTTCATATCATAAATTATAATTGTGTTTTGTTTTTGAATTATGTCAATTTCCCTATTTACATTTGCAAAATTTTAGAAGATACTTGTTAAAATTAAATAGCTAGTCTGAAAAGTATATTTATATTATAAATAAATACCAATGAAATTTATAATATGAAATTTTAAGTTATGTTAATTATCTGATGTCCCTCAAGCGTTTATTCATATCAGGGAGACATTTAACGCTTATAAAACAATATCAAATATATTGTCGCAGAGCTAGATTTTAGAAATAGAGCAGTTTATCAAAACCGAAAAAATTTTTTTTGTCGGGACATTCATTATGCTGCTCATATATTTGACCCAAGATTTTGCGGATTTAATTTAAGAGACAATGAAGTTGCAAAGGGGTTGGATATTATTAACCGATTTTCTGGATATCTAGATTTAGATATTGCAAGAGTAATAGGAAACCTATCCAAATATTGTGCAAGGGAAGATTTTTTAAATATAGCAAGTTTTTGGCAAGGCGCATCATTTACAGATCCAGTGAGTTGGTGGAAAGGTTAAATACTTTTATATTTCTGTAAACAATAACTTAACTCTTTTTCTAATCTTAAAATTGTGTTATTCAATATTTTATCAGGTCTATGTTGCAATCAATACATATCGACCCTAGCCATACGAATTTTATCAGTACCACCAACAAGTGCAGCATCCGAAAGAATATGGTCCTCCTTTGGAAATATTCATTCTAAATCTAGAAATAGAAATAGAATAAAAAAATTAGTTTATATAAGAGCCAATCTACATTTTATGGGAAAGGAAATTTCTGAAAATGACAAATTGCTGGATTCCAGAATTTCAAGCTCTGATCTGGAATCATTTTCATCTTCAAACGAAGATAATTACCTATTCAAAATTAATTGTTTAAATATTATTTAGTCTATATGATATTTCAAATAAAACATGTAAAGTAATTGCAAATTAGTTGAAAATAATTTATATTTGTTTAATTATAATATTTATAATCTATATATTTTCAATAAAACATAAAAAAAATCAATATTGACCTGTAAAGTATTATAAAAAAGATAGTTTCCCGTTATTTCCCTATTTTCCCATTATTTCCCGTTTTTTCCCCAAATTTCCCCGAAATATAGTTTCCCGGGAAATTTACATCCCTACTGACAAGTGAGTTTGAAAATATGATTGTCTAAAATTTTATATTGATATCCATATTAAAATTTTTGCTTTCCTTGCCTTTAAATTGATAAAACAATCTCCTTAAATTTCTATAAAATCATCTCGGAACTTCGTTCTTCTATTTTAAAAAAGTTTACTATAGGCACATTTAATTTTTTAATATAACTTTAAAAAAATTTGTTATAAATTTTAATATAAAAAATTGAAAAACTGAACGATTCCCAGCACTTAGTATGGGTTATTCACTAACAATCGTTAACCCTTAGAACTTGAGTATAAAAAATCTTGTAAATCAATCTTATTTTCATCACATTTTCTAAAGCTACCATATTTTACTTATTTTATGCTACCACTACTAAATTATAAAAGTATCAAAACTACAGCCAGTTATCGAGTCTCATAATTAAAAATGAAAAGATTTATTTTTATAGTAGTTTTTTTTTAAAATTATTATAATGATAGTAATTTTTTTAATTTCATTAATTGGGGATAATAAATATTGTATTTAGATCTAATTCATTTTTATATAACAATTTAAAAACCAATATTGAAATATCAGCCTAAAAATATCAGTAGTTTTTTGGAAAAAAACTGGTTTCTCTATATTGACTGAAAAAACTGAAGGATGAACTACTAATACTAATCAGAATTACATATTGGTCCACTTATAATATTCAGTGCTTCTATCATTTTGTTCCAGCATGATATAATCTTATCAATTTATTTAATCCAAGAATGTGTTTTTCTATATAAATCTACCAAACTGGTTAATGATATAAAATTCGAAACTTGACTGACTTCACACTTAAAGCATATCATAGTTTTTAGTTAGCTTATAATTTGTTTTCTTTTTCTGGCTGTCAAAATTGACTGAGGAATTAATTAGTGAGGTACCAAATCTTAACCCAAGCCAAATATTTAGTACTTATATTCCAGTATGCCAATTTGTTCTTTTTTACTAATAACTTACAATTTATCAAGTTGTAATAAAAAATACTAATTAAGAACTACTACGTTTGGTATAAGCTTTAGAATTTGTGTTTTGAAAAGCTTGGCTCACTGCATGCTTAAATGTGACATGATAGTTTGCATTTTATTTATAACTTAATTTCTTTTTTCTGTTTAGTAAGATTGAGTATTTAACAAATACTAAGCAAACCAGATATTTAATTCTCTATTTTCCTATGCAATTTTTCCTTATTTTTGTTATATAACTTTTTTCTTTAAATCATCTATTGAAAGAATTAAAATAATAATTGTAGGATTAGCCATAGTTTTGTTGCAGTCATTTTTACTTTCTAATAACCAGATTAAAGTGCTTATATGAATAAACTGTTGGTTTAGATTAAAGAATTAGTACTTCTAATTAGTTTTAATTATGTAACTGAGGACTAAATAGAGGTTTAGGTGACAAATATTATAACCACCCATGCCCTCAATCCCCCTTTTCAATAAATCTTGGATCCCAATATTAGTAGCAAAGATTGGTTTATAATTTACAATAAAACTAATAAATCTCATTATAATTATCCATAGATTTTAACTTATCTACTGGTACATTTATCATGAAAGCATTATTTAATTTATAATAGTTTAATTTTAAAAAGCAAATTTAACTCTATGTATAAGCATATCTATAGCTCGTATATCGGAAACGCTTTTATTTTTTGTGAATTCTTCTCGAATTTTGTTTCTGTACGCATTATAGGTTAAAGGAAGATTTGCATATAGTTCAACTATTTTTATCACTAATTATAAGGTAAAAAATTTTAAGCATACTAATATTTGGTATTTTCCGCAGAAATCTTTTATATAAGCAAAGCACTTTTTGTCTAGACTCGTTTTTATTCTGAGAATAAACAACTCTCGATACTTTTGGAAGAATATTTGTAATTTTATTATTCATAACCGACCATAAATGAGGTGCAGAACAGATTGAGATTCAGAATCTAAAAATTAATGCCAGTGATTGGCATTTACATCTTTTTTCATATTAGGAAAAGATAATATAAAAAAATTTAATATGCTGATTTGTCTTATTGATATAAACACCAAATTGATAAAAAATAAATTAAGTATATTATTCAAATTTTATTATCCATAATAAAAATTATTTCACTTTGTCAATCAAAATGATTGAAATTGGAAAACTACGTTAAAAAGTCCATAAATTTCTTCACTTGGAAACAAATTAACTACTCCCATCCTCAACAGTCAAATCTCTTTATTGGATAAAATAACTCAATTATGCAACAAGGTCATTAATGGTGAGGTCCCAGATTTTGCAAGGGCCCTCTTTTTGGAGCCAAACTTGTCGCCCTAAGAAAAAATAATGGTGATATTAGGCCTATTGCTGTTAGTGCTTTATATAGGAGATTATGTTCAAAGTTAATAGCTAGCAGAATTTCTGCACAAATATCTAATATACTTCTTCCTTTGCCATTTAGGGTTCGTACGAGCTCAGTCTGTGAAGCAGCTGCACATATAAGGCACATTTATGCTCATAATACTACAACTGCTCAACATCTTGTAAAAATCAATTTTACAAAAGTTTACAATAGCATTCCTAGACAAGTAATAATCTCACAATTTATAAAACATTTCCCAATTTTTACAAACTATATCCTCTCGTCTTATAAAAAACCATCACATTTGGTATTTGACCATCATATCATAACCTCTTCCGAAGGTATTCAGCAAGGTGATCCCCTTGGCTCCATATTATTTTGCCTTGGTATCCAAGATTTGATTACTAAAATAAACAATGACTGCAGGCTACCCTTACACTTATGGCATATTGATGATGGGGTCGTCTCCAGCGAATCTGCAGAGGTGATAAAGGCTATTAATATTATTAAGACTTCTACTGACAGCCTCGGACTCGTAATTAATCAAATCAAACTGAATAATACGATATTAATAAAATTCCGCAAAACGTTTTTGGTTTTAAGCATGTCCCCTTGAAAAATCTATCGCATTTGGGCTCTCCCATTGGTGAGGAGTCAGTGAATTCTTTTCTTAGCGATATGGACGATATCTTTAAAAATTTAAAACGCATTCTTCCTTGTCTTTCGGCTCACAAGGCCTTTTTTTAATTCGGAATTTCTTCAACATCCCTAAAATCCTTTATGCTTTACGATCGAGCCCATCAGCGTCTACATGAGCGGGAGTGGTAGGAACAGTTTGCATCCTATTTTTTTGAGGGAGTATGGGGTAAGCTGCTTTAATGGGGGTAGGATAAATTTATTGAGGGGTTATCTATTAAATTTTGAGATGAAATAGGACAAAATTAATTGCTGTAAAAATTAATTCTTTTATTATAGTATTATTATAATACAATTCATCGACCAAATCTATATATTGCAAACAATCATACACATTGTTATGTACATTGTAAATAATAGAGGTTTTAATTGAATTTATTATCGAAAAAATAAATCCTTTATATTCATAAAATACGATAGTTGGTAGCAGAGATAGATTAATTTAAGTTATCCTTTATAAATTCTGCGAAAAGAGTATCAATAAATAAATAGGTGAAAAAAGTGATAAAGAGACACCGCCGCGGCGGCAGGAATTTTTAAGGGGGGGGGGGGGAGGGGGGGGAGGCAAAGGTTTTTAAAGGGGGTTTGCATCTAGTGAAAATCCTGTCATGTAGACGCTGTAGCCCATTATTTTTAGAGAGAGAGCATTTAGTGAGATTCGAAACTAGAATAAAAGTCATCCTTAGCGACTGCTTAAATATCATACAGACATAGCTTGGCATCAAGCGACACTTTCTTCCAAACATGGCGGCCTTGGTATAAGATCCCCATTGTCGATCTTAATATGTGCCTTTATTGCCAGCCACAGGTACATATATTAATTGAACATCTGTCGGTTCACGATCCTTTTTTGAATACAGCTCAAAATCCGTCACAACCTCAACCCTATTTCCGATCTCTGTAAATCAGAAAGATTGGGATTTACCACTTGTGAAAAACTCCGTTGATTACCTTATTTCGAGTCTCACCATTAGCTAGATTTACATTTATTGAACTTATCAAAGATCGGGGATATGAATTTTTAGATGTTATTCCATCTACCAATCTCAAACTCGACAACCATTAGCTCAGCTATGCTTTATATATCAGGCTCAACATTCCCTTTTCATTACCATATAAATGCAGCAAATGTCATACTGATGATAACAATATGGCGCTGCATCCTTTACATTGCAGTAATCCCGGTCGGCAAACTAGACACTTGAAATGCAATCAAATCATATCTCTTGCACTTAGGTCAGCTGGTTTTCCTACCTCAATGGAGCCTTCTGGCTTGTTTTCCGATAGTAGGCGTCCTGATGGGGTCACACGTATCCCATGGTCTCAAGGAAAGTTTTTAATATGAGATTTCTCTTGTCTGGACACTAACTCCTCTTCTAATCTTAACATGGACGCTCTGAAGAGAGTAAGATCAAAAAATACAGAGCTGATTCCTCAAATTACATATTCATACCCATCATTTTCTCCACCTTAACTACATATGGTGATTTGGCTAAAAACTTTTTCAAAGACGTTGCCCGCCTAATTCAGAAAAAATTCTGGGGAGTCTCGCGAAGGTTTTTACTTAAGACAGAGGATCGCAATAGTCATTCTTATGGCTAATTGTGTTTACTTAAGACAGAGGATCGCAATAGTCATTCTTAAGGCTAATTATGTTTGTTTTATAAATTCGATCTCTCTTGATGATTAGATGAAGGAGGTTCTGAATAATTTTTGCTGCTTTCGCTTTTATTATTTTGTATTTTACATTATTTTATGATCTATGCCTCAATATTGTCTTTTTGTTATTATGATTTTTTTTTTCGTTACTAATTATACTAATTATATATTTTTCATTTTATATAACTGTGTGATAACAGATAATTAATAAGAATAGTTCTAAATATTTTTTGAATAATTTAACAAGGAAAATATATTTATTTAATTTCATCCAATAAATAGTAAGCAAATCCCATCAGAATCGAATAATTCCTTATTCATATTCATCAAAAAATAAAATTCTTTAAAAATATTTATGAATGTGGAAATAAAGTATTAAAAAATTAAAATGTTCCACAAAGAGTACGGTAAATACTCACAGATAATTCGATTGAATAATATAAAGTATTAGGGGGTATATATATATAATATTTTCTTTATTTGTATTTATTTCGAATTTTATAATCTAATAATTTTATTAATCGTATTCGTGTAATAGGTATCGAATAGTTCGTTTTAGGTATAACAGGTTATAGTATATGTTAACACTAGTGGAGTAGATTTTTGCAATAGCTAAAAGATATCAATCCATCGCTGATTTTTAATATCTTAATAGCTTTATTGGAAATTTTATCTTTTCAAATAAATGTAAAAAACAAATCTAATAAAAAAAATTATGAATCCTTGAAAAAACCTATGGGGAAAATCCCCGGAATTTTTTTTTCGTATTTCTCATATTTACTTAAGACCTATTAATAAGGGTATATTTTTATTCGTATAGATAAAAAAAATGCAAATATTTTAATTTTAATTATATTACAAATATAATATTTATAGGGATTAAGTTGGGGTGTGGTAGTATTGATTTGGAAAGTTTAGAATTAATATGAAAGATTAAATCAGAATAAGAGAATTTTATTTTTACAAGGAATCTGGTATAATCAAATATGGTTTATTGTTAACCTTAAATATGTCGATTTTTACACCTGTTTAATATATCATCAGATAGTTAAATATATAATTTTTAAATCAATTAAACATAATATAAAATTAACGCCTCAAACAGTAAAATATAAACTTTTAAAATCAATTAAACATATATAAAATAATATGAAATTAACGCCTCAGACAGTAAAATAATTTAAATGTTATTTTACAAACATGTAACTATATGCACCAATTAAAATAAAAAAATAAATACCTTAAATAAAACATTATTTTGGAGAATGTGATGATTTTTCCTTAAAACAATTTATAATATTATTCTTTACAATTTTTTAATTCATTATAATGGGAAAGGAAGTAGATATAAATGAAATAACAATAATTAGTATACCAACAAATCAAAGAAAATGGGTAGGGAGGGGTCAATATAGCTATCCATATTAGTTTTTTTTATTATACCCTTAACAGTATAAATTACATTTAATGAGTTATTGGTGAGGGGTCAATATAGCTATCCATAATAGTTTTTTTCGTAATTATACCGTAAACATAAACAGGTATAAATTACACTATATATGAGCTAATTGATATAATATAATATTTACCAATAATGGTTTAAATTTAATTATTATATTACAACAGGCCTTACTATATATTACATTAAAATAATAATCATTGTTATTAAAAATTATGATTACTAATTTAAATGTTCAACAAAGACTTTTTGACTAAAAAAAATGTGTTTGTGAAAGTGGGCACAAATAGAGATTGGCATGTGGGGAGTGTCATTGGGGGGATCAGTAATGTAAAATTAAGATAGATAATAATGTTGTGATTGCGCACATCAATCAAATTAGATATCTTTGATAAATTTGGTCATTATATATTCAATCGTTTATGGTTCCGTTTTGTTGAGTATTAATCAAGATTTTATAATAGATATGTACCTTTTGTTATAAATAATTCCATTTAGTCTCTTACCCATTATAATGTATTTATTGATTGTATTCCACAATAAGGAAACAACAATATTATAATAATACATCTACTCCATTCCCCAATACATTTAGTCCCTTATCCATTATAATGTATTTATTGATAGTATTCTACAATAAGGAAACAACGATAATATGATAATACATCTACTCACTTTCCCAATATATATAGCCCCATCCCCATTATAATGTATTTATTAATTTTAGTCCACAAGTAAACAACAATATTATAATAGATCTACTCCCTTCCCCAATATATTATGACCTTTCATCATTATAATGTATTAGAAAATTTCAACTTGTCAAGAATAATGTTATAAATTATTTTAAGGAAAAAACATCACATTCTCTAAAATTGTTATAATTATTTTTGTTTATTTTATTTGGTGTATGTAGTTAAATGTTTGTAAAATAATATTTAAATGTTTACATTTTACTATCAGAGGCGTTAATTTCATATTTTATATATTGTTCAATTGATTTTATATATTTATATTTTATTGCTTGAGGCGTTAATTCCAGATCATATCATATTATGTTCAATTGATTTAAAAAAGTATATATTTGACCGTCTGATGATATATTACATATATATATAAATCGACATATTTTAAGTTAAAAAAACAAAAAATATATTTAATTTTAATTATACCAGATTCCTTGTCAAAAATATATATTTAATTTTTATGCTAGATTCCTTGTAAAAATAAAATTCTCGTTCAACCTTATTTATTCTTTCATATCAATTCTAAACTTTCCCAATTAATACTACCACACCCCAAGCTAATCCCTACAATATTCAAATCAAAATATAAAATTATAATACTAAAATATATTTTTTGTTTTTATATACCGTATAGCCCTGAATCCAGTTACTCCCTCGTGTAAAATAATGAAAAAAACTACATATTTTGAATAATTGGCCATGAATTCGCTTTAATTGTGAATGCAGGATAAAGATGATACAAATTAATGTTTAATTGTCTAAATACCAGGAATTATAACGTTATTTAAACTGATAAAATATTTTAATTCTGTTGATTAAATATAAATTTTACACCTTGATGACAAATAATAAGATAATACATTTTAATAGCTGTCAATGATTGTAGCATTCTTTTAAAAATTTATTTATCAATATAATATATTGGCATGGTATATTAAAATATAAGCGTATATGAAAATATTCCTCCCCTATTCCCCTCTCCTTTAAGAAAGTAAATCAAAACAAAAATTAGCAAAAAATATATAAATCTAAATTTGTAAAAAATAAAAGAAAAAAAATTCAAATAGAAATCAGCAAAAAGGGAAAAATCAGATCCAAGTTTATCTCATCTCATACCCCTCCCTTCTTTCTTACTTTACCAAGCCTACATATATTATTCTTGATAAAGCACTCTTTGATTTTGAAGATCTCCTGGAAGAGGTGTATGGCCTGAACCAATCTTTAGTATTGTGAGAAAATTTCCAGATATGTTATTTATACTAGAGATCTGCAAACGTTGGTCGGGCCTAATATATTTTTAAAAAAATCAGGCCAGGTTGATTCTTGAAAATTTTTTTAAATATATAAATTTATTAATTTTATTTTGAATTGTTTATGTAAAATAAAAATATTTGATTATTTATAGAAACTAGATGCCATGTAACATATATCTTTTATTTTGAGTTAAAATTAATTTCTATATTAAAATAAATTTGGGCTGGGCCTGTAAATTTTTTTCTAAAAAAAATCGGTTTGGGTTGTGACAGCAAAACTTTTTAAAAAAAATTTCAGGCCAGGGCTTGAAAAATTAGGCCCAATGCAGATCAACTTTTTATAGGCATCAAATTTGATAAAAATATTCTATTTTTAAATTTTTCCAAAGGGTTTTTATTCTGAGGGGGGGGGGGGGGCAGTGGTTGTTATTTTCCCAAGGGGTATTTTATACAGGGGATTTCTTCTTATTACCAAAAAAAAAATTTTTTAAATATTATATTTATGAATGATAATTTTTTTTTTCATATATTTATCCCAAAGGGAGGAAAATAAAATATATTTTTTAATATATTAGATTAGATTTATTTTAGCGAGTGTATTTAAATCAATGATTTTAAAAAAACTGATTTATTGGAAAAGGTTGTTATGTGATCAAAAGATAAACATAGGGATTTATAAATAAAATTTTTATACATCTTTATGTGATATTTTTATTTATTTAAAGAGGAATACCTTCATATTTTAATTTAATTAAAAAGAAAATTTTAATTATTTTATTAGGTCTCATTATAAAATACAAAAATGATCTTAATTGCATGTTCACAATATAAAATTCCAATTTTGCAAATAATTTAACTCAAATTCACTTTTCATTATTTGATCTACTCAAATGATTTAGAGGTAAAAAAAGGAGTATTTAGATATAATCATTTAGCTCTAAAAAGTTCCTAGTGAAGGTAGACACAACACATAAACAAATAGTATCCAAAAATATCTATCAATGGCTATGTAAAATTTGTGAAGAAACTTAAAGAATATTGACAGAATAATTTATCAAAAAGTTATAAATATAACAGTCTCAAAAGATGTTTAAAGATCCTGATTTCAAACACAAACCCTTATATGCATAACAAAAAATTGTTGAACATATCAGATTATGCCAAACATTGACTGGCATACCTACTATTTAAATAACAAAATAGAAATTTTGTAATGCTATATAATTTTTATAAAGTTGTGGTGGAGATCTTAAAATAAAATGATTGTGAGTGATTCAATCATCTCTTATTTAGTTACATCATCTGCCTCTGTAGAAAGAATGTATTCCCCTTTTTGAAAAAAATTTGATAATCAATGAATTATATTTCCAGATTTTAAGAATAAAAAATATTCTACTATAAATATCACTATTTATTCTTCTTTTTCTTTGGTTTCTTTTTCTTCTTCCGATGTTTCTTTTTAGAAGGATTTTTAATTTTTTGCAAAATTATAGATAACTTTTCAATATTTTTACGCACTTCTATTTCTTGCCTAAGATCCATAAATTAACAAAAAACATATATAGTAAGTTACTGATTTGATTTATCTAGGCCTTTCTCTTTCTTTTCTAAATCACAAGTTTGTATTGACATGTCCTAAACCAATTTTTAAATATAATAACTAAAATTTTATATTTTAAAACATTAACTCCTAATAATGTATTTTGATTTGTTAAATCATAATTTGTTAAGCTGGTAATTGTAACATGTTGCTCAGGATAATCATTAGTTGATAAGTAACTTTCCTCATATACTTGATTTATTTCTAATATTAAACATTTTTGATTATATTTGAAAAAATAAATTACTATTAACTGCTGACTCTGTTGTTGTTTTTATATATTTTTGAATATTTTCTTTTTTCTAGAAATAATTAACCTGATGTAAATATACTAAAATTACTAATTTCTTAATTTTATTCCTTTCATCTTTTATTAGTGTTTCAAAATTTTCAACAGCTATCTGCTTCCGTAACAATTTGCGTTTATGAAATCCTGTTAAGTATTCTCTATATGAATGTTTATAAAGTTTTTTAAATAAAATGTACTTTCGTTCTTCTGCGTCGAATACTAGATTAGATTTTTTCTTTTTAAATTTATTTACCATCTTGATTTAAATAATTAAGCATTTAGAATTCATGTCAATCAATCTTAAATGATTTTGACACAATAATTAAATATGATATAACCAATGACATTATGTCATTAGATATAACAATATATAATGATATTTTCTGATATAAAATTATAATGATTTAATAATTAATAAATAAAGACATCATATATATACGATTAAGTAACAAAAAAGAGCATTTTGATACTTCGAATAAAAGCCCTATTCAAAGATAACCATGTTTTACTTACTATTTGGAATTCGTACTTATCAAAATGAAACAAAAATTAATACATAGAGTAAAGTTGTTTAAATTCAATATATATTCGATTTTCATTTTTTCCCTGTTACAGTACATACAAAAAGTTGTGCTAATGTCAATTGATTTTTTTTGAATTAGTTTCATTTGTATTTTAAAAAATTCAAAATAAACGGACGTTATAATATCCCTGATAAGAAAATCTAAAAGATGAAAGCTTTAAGACTAAAGTCATGTTAGTATTTCCTACTGATAATGAGGGTAAAACATTTGAATTGGATTCCGAGTTTGTATTTGATGTTGTTTCGATAGTGATTATTAATTATGATAGAAAAGGAGACAAGGAGAAATCCCCCCCTTTAGAATATGGCACTTTTTGATATCATTTTGTACAATTAAAAAATATTTTCTTTACTCCCCTCCTCACCCCCTGTCACTCAAAAATGTATGCATATATCTTAAACATTAATCTGAAAGAAAGAAGGTAAAAGTTAATAATTTTTTTGACTAAAACTGTTGACCATAACTTATATTTTTTGGAAAAAGATTTATATATTTAAAAAAAGTAAAACCAAACCTATTTTTAAGAAATGAAATATAAGCCAAAGATAATTCTTGAGTTAAAAGTGAAATTTTATATAATTACTATTATAGATCCATAAGATTAATAAATAATCTATAATTTTTTTTAAAATGGATTACTTAAATTTATTCTTCTTTATAAAAGTAAAGTTTAATTATAAAATTATTAATAAATTTAAATAAAAAGAAATAAAAAGAAATTAACGCACAATTACATAAAGTGGAATATTATGTCCCGTAGATTTATAATATATCTAATGTAAATTAAAAAGTTACTTTTAACGTGTTTAAATTTAAATTTGTATTTAAAATTTCTCGTGAGCAATTTCGAATGAAATATATTTAGACCTCCTTATGCAATTTATTAAAATACATAATTGGCATAAATTTCAAATCTCATATTAGTTTTTAAATTATTGAGAATAAATTACCTGCCCTGGGATTATGCTATCCTCGGTCTACCCTACTACCTTTAAACTTTTTAAAAAAATCATATCCATGCCAGATCTGTAAATGAATGCTACCACTTGCGATCTCTATTTAAATAATCTCATATTTATTATAATAACGTTATAATTTAGCAAAAATACAAAAAAAAAGAATTTAAATAAATAATCATCGAAAAAATATTTTTAGAACGTAATAAATTGAATAATATTATATAATAACATATTCTGGTAATTTAATTTTGAATTACAATAAAATAAATATATTCTAATGCATTAAGTATTTATTATAAAAAAAATAAAATCTAAACAATTATAATTCATAAAATATTATAATAAATGATATTATAAACTAACAAGTCAGGGATCGGCATAATCTTTGTGATTATGGGGTTTTCTTTGAAGTATTTTTAAAGGTTCGGGGTTCTAAAAAGGTTAACAATTTACAGTACCGTAACTAAGGTGTTAGGCAGCTCTTCTCCCCCAAATTTTTTTCTAGTCCCTCAGAAAGGAAAAATTACAAATTTTAAAGAAATTATAAATATCAGTCATTTATATTTTTGAGCCATGTCCAAATATATTTTATATTTTTTTAACTTTTTTCTTTTCTTTTCGTTTTTAACTTTAAATTTATTTTGGATGCCACTACCTTAATTTTGTTTTTTGAGAGAGTTAGGCATCGTTTATAGAAGCACGAAATACTGCGAGCAATTAATTGCTAAACTTTAGCATAGATATATCCTTCAACATAAGGTATTTTTCTAAATCATGCACGGCTTGAGCTACATCACAGTATTTTCACATTCGCTATAAACGAGACCTTACATCAAAATAGTAAAAGTTTAATATTAAAAAAAATTGTTTTATATACATATTTTTACTATAATAAATTACATGCCTGTATAATAAACCTTTCTGCCATCTATGAGTAAAATCTCCAAACTTACTCAATATCTTTTGGCTAAAATATTGGGTGTACTATTTTTAAAAATCGAGCCATTTAACAACACTGCAAAATATACGATTTTTTTAAAATGGATGCCCTCCCCCCAGTCTCTCCCTCCGCCCAATTAAAAATTTTATAGTTACGGCCATGTGGATATTATTTTTTTTTGTTGAAATAATACAATAAAGAAAGAAAAATTACAATACATTGAACAATTATTTCCATATTAAAATAAAATAATAATTTTGATATTTTAAACCAAACAAGTTGAATTATATGTTTATAATTAAAAATATCATTTTAAAAGTATATTTTTCAGGAATATTCATTTCTTTGCTGAAGAAAAAATGTAAAAACCCTAAAACCACATTTTCTTTATATGTTCTATCCGGTTTTGCGATTTTGATACTTTAGGTTCCAATCCCTGCATACAATTTCGTATATCATTTTAAATTTTTTTATTATTTGTTAATATATTGTGCCAATCTCTTAATAAAATCCAAGCGAAGGAAAGTTGATTTAAAATAGGCGAAAAATTTTATGTAAGGAGATCTAAATTTCTCGTTCATCATTCCGTACATGAAAGGGTTCAAGGCCGAATTAGTCAGCCCCAGCACTGGGGATAACCTGAAAAACCAAATCGGGAAATGGAGCCATCTTTCTAGTAAAACTATCAGATTCCATGGGAACCAACAAATAGTGAAAGCTACAAAAAATATGAGTAAATATATATTTGTTTTGTGGTCCCTAGTAAATTTATGTTTTTTTAACATCGAATTTATGCCATCCGTGGCTGTCTGGGAGCTAATCTGTCTAGACTGAATATTGTGGCAATCAATTTGAGATATATTAAGATGGTCCAAAATGGGGTTTGAGTGGATAGCTGTGACTTTGTTACACGCGACATTCGACCACGAATTTTTGATTATCGCTATCGGATTTATATTCACCCTTTTGCTCTCAATAGCATTTCGTCTGGCTCGTGACTTCGATTGCCTTCATATGTAAAATTAAGAAAAACAAACATTTACTATCATTATGATATTAACGGTGATTTAATAAATTTATAAGATAAAACACAGGTGTTACAACGTCTCAAATATCCTTTTAATATGAATATCAGTGTCAGATTTAAAAAAAAAGATATAAATAAATAAATCCAGTCACATTTAATAATTTAAAATTGCGTTACTCTGATTAAACATTAAAATGAGAGGTTTTATAACATTAAATATCATATAATTGCCTAGATAAAAGGTTTCAAAATTAGATTTAATAATCAATATTTTACATTAACTCCGAAAATTAATAATTAATGTATTATAAATTAGTGATCTGCATCGGGCCTAATTTTTCAAGCCCGGCCCGACCCGAAATTTTTTTAAAAATGTTTTGCCGGCCCGGACCGGCCCGAATTTATTTAAATATAGAAATTAATTTTTATAATTACTTAAAATATAAGTCATATGTTATATGTCGTTTAGTTTCAATAAATAAAATAAAATATTTTTATTTTACATAAAAAATTCAATATAAAATTGAGAAATTTAGATATATTTTTAAAAAATTCCAAAATCCAACCCGATCCGGCCCGAATTTTTTTAAAAAATATTAGGCCCGGCCAGAACCCGATTATTTTAAATAGAATTAGGCCCAAGCCCCCTAACTTTGCAGATCTCTATTATAAATAGTGAAAGATGTTTTTAGTTAAAGTTATTCTCCGTATATATACTTTAACTTGTTACTTTGCTTGATTTATTATTATGTATGTAGAATATTTTTTTTACTGGAATATTCTACTTTTTTACACTTAAAAAAATTCGGGCCATGCCACGCGAATAAATATTTCGAATCAGGCTTTTCGGGACAAATTTTTTTTTAAAAAAAATTTGAAACGGGCCCGGGTTAAAAAATTAAACCCGATTCAGATCACTAATGTATACTACTTCGAGTCCGTCAAAAAAAACTCCATATTAAATTGATTAATACACAAAGTTTAATGACAAAAAAATTGTCTGAAATTTATAAGGTAGTTATTCTACATGAGAATTAACCCAACTCGAGGAATCTGCACTTCAGGGAAATCTTTTCAATTGGATGATAATATATAAGGCTAAACAAGTAAGTACGATTACAGGTTAGAAGATAGATATGGGGTTGGGGTTAGTTAAAGGTTTAAAAGATATGGGTTAAGGGTAAGGTATATAAAAGAGGGTTTTTAATAAAAATTTAATCACTTTTATTAATAACTTGTAAAATTTGAGAGGTCGTGCAATTAAAAATAATTTTCCATGAGTTGAATTATAATCGCTCTACATATCCTGGAATACATTTCTGGTCAAAACAGATGTTTTCAAATTTAAAAATCGTTCCTCAATAAAGGATATAAAATTGAGATCAGAATCTCCAAGGATTCCACATCCCAATTAGGACATATATAAACTATAAAATAAAATATGAAAATTTCCAATAACGGAAATATTTTTTACCTTACGATGAGAAATATTTTGTAGTAACAAAAGGTGGCTACGAAAATAGATGGAATCATGCTAAAGAGCGAAATTATGGACCCCCAATTTATATCAAACGTATGAATCGAATCGTCCCACAAACAAACCCGGAAACCGCGGTGATAACCAAAATGTCCAATTGTATTACTTACGCGTTGTCCTAAGGCGGGTAAGATTGTTATCAATATCGAAAGAGCCCAGCTGACACCTATCCATCCATATGTCATACTCGCGCTAAACCATCGATTATACGTCGCTTTGTTCTTAGTGACTAACACTAAACGGATTACGCCAATGAATGCTATTGAGTAGAGAGATTCACAAAACATTAATACGTTGAGTCCCCCCATTATGTGGCAGACCACGACCTGATTATGGTAATTGAATTCGAAGGCGTAAGCCGCTCCCAAATAGAGGGGACCTGATAACAAGCATATACAGAGATCGGCAAGGCTCAAATTTGCGACTAATAAATTTCCCGCGTTACGGAAGAGATTCGTATCTATCTTGAAAGCTAGGACTACCCCTGCATTACCGATTATGCCTATCAAACTTATAAAAAGCATATACCAATAGTAGTTGTAAAATGAAAATATTTGAGAATGCGCTAAATGAGGGTGGTGAGGACCATTGGAAATGTTTATGTGTGATGTATTCTGCATTTTAGCAAGTTTTACGCAGATTCTTTTTTGGCCTTATGCGATAAAGAGGAGATATATTTTTTCCCAAGAAATAAAATTATCTTTCGAATTTTTTTTTTTTTTAAAAAATATTTATTGGCTATTTATTCTTAAAATTTAATTGTTAATTAAAATATAAAAAAAAGGAAAGACGTATTTAAAAAATATTCATATAAAATGGTTTAGGTTTAGTTAGCCATTAAAAATTAATGATATAATAAAAATATAATTATCTTTCTTTTATTTATTTTTAATAATTATGGAATAAAAATATTCAAATTTTGTTCAATAAAAGATTTGGATTAGCAGGACAAATAATTTTTTTTAAAAATAATTTATAAAATTATATCCTAGGGAATAATGTTGATAAAAAGCGCGAATTAAGATTTTAGCTAAAATATTATTATATAAACATCAAGATTTGGCAAATAAATGTATAAGCATTTCTGCCAGCTATGAGCAAAATCTTTAGGCTTGCATATTGTATTTTCGCTATAATCGTAATCGGACCGTTTTTAAAATCAATCTGAAATGGGGTTTCTAACAACACTACTAGTGAAAGTAGTTTTAATAATTGACCTCAGCAAAAAAAAAATTATCATCTAAAAATCCTAATTTTTCTTTAAAAAAAGGAAGAAAGAAGTTATTTAATAGTATATATTACCATGCCTATTAATTTTTTTTATTATTATTAATACTTTAAGAGCACAAAATTTCGTCAAATAATATAATTAATATTTAAAAAAATTAATATTTATTTAAAATGGAAAGCATTTTTTTATAAATTGTATTTGACACAAATAACCTCCCCCCTCCCCAATGACCAAATTTTTTAAAAGTTTGGCTAGGAAATTTTTTTTACGAACATGGGTCATATCTGGCTTGTAGACAATGACTGGCAGGAGTTGAGTTGCCATAATAATAATGTGAAATCGTATTAACTTGACTAATGACTATTTTTTTTATAAAATATTTTTATAAAGGTCTTTTAATATTTATAAATTTAAATAGTAAGCATTATAATAGTTTTTATATTTTTCATATTAGCATGATACCCATATTGGCAAATATCTTTTTTCTTTATACTTTCTTCTACCAAAAGGATTAAATGAATATACAATTAAGCATTAAACATTTATAAAATTTGAAGAATAAATTTCAGTCGCTTTCCAATATCTTGTTACCAATAATTTTTCCCTCTATACTGGCTACTATACTGATTAAAGTCAGAAACTAGTAAAGCACAAAGCATTGCCATATTTTAGAATTAGTGCTTCCAATTTTTCAGACAATTTTAACTAAGATGATAAAATATCTATATAAAAATCAATAATATAAAGTAATTTTTATAGGAGAAGCTCGGCCGAAGCCCTGGCAAAACGGGTTTTAAAAAAATTTTAACCCCCCCCCCCCCATTTAGAAATAATCTGGCTACGCTACTGATAACAAGTTACGATTGATTGGAATCGAAACGAATTCGTTTCGGTAAAAAAAAAGCAGTTCAAGTTTGATTTGGAAGTCTATCAATGTAGTTTATATCTTCATAATTAATATTAGCGATAATTTTTTGAATAAAATAGTATGGGAATTAACACCTGGTATATGGATGGTGTTGACTGGCAAACAAGATGGCTTTCACATAAAATGATATTACTCAAAAAAGTTTTAGACTTATAGTTTTTTTCCCTTCATTTTATAGATTATCTAGGTTACATATTCATATTTATTTTACATTTTAAAATTGAATGTTTGGGCTACACATTCTTATTATATCAATACAAAGCAATCTTTTCATATTTTCCAAAAATAAAAACATGCCACTTATTCCTGGTCATCATATATTTTTTATAAAGATTTATAACTTCAGATATGACCTGATCGGAAGTTTATGCTCTGTAAAATTTAATTTATTATTAATTAAAATTACTAAAACGGGAGACTCTAAATAGAATTCAGACAATAAAAGGTAGAAATTTCCGGTTTTTTTAATTTATTTTCTAGTTCTAATGATGAGGCAATCCAATGATACAATTACTCGAATTCCGCAAAAATAAAAATAAAAAATTTTGTAGTAAAAGAAGCAAAATATCTGCATATGATCCGGTCTCCCCTACATTATAAACTTTCAAATTATAAAAGAAAGGCACTGATATCATACTCATATCTCAATATCTGGCATTTCCAGAAAACCTTATCATTAGCAAATTTTTTTCTTCTTGCGCCATGTATTCCAAATCTCCTTTCCAATTCTATTTTTTAAACTCATTATAAGCAGAATGGGTCACAGAGTGACCCAAATAGGTGAAAAAAAATTCTTCTCCTTAATTTTTTTAAATTAATATTCAATTATTTATTCAAGATAATTATTCCTATCACAATTCCAGTTAATACCTTTTATAATAATATTCACTAATTTATTATTTGGAAGATATATTATTTATATATTGTATTAATTAGAAATTTTCAATTTTTTTAGTCATTAGTTTCCTATAAATTTATAAAAAAAAAGGCTAAAAAAATGTTTTAATATAAATATTTAATAAACATAGATTATAGTTCCTACGGTTAAGGATTGAGTTAAAAACAATTTTTGCTAATATAAACTAACCATATTTTGTTAAAACACATTATAAAAGGATATTAAAATTGCAATTTAAAAAAAAGAGGATATATTTTAACCTCTAAACCAATAGCATATCCTTATATTTTTTAGATTACAATTATTTTAGTTATAAATACTATATTGATTAATGGATTTATAAAACTATTTTATAAAATTATTAACAATTGTTTTTAGAGAAACATCTAACTCTCAAAGAGAATTATTTTACAAATTAAATAATAATATAAAAATGCAATGGTATCTATTAAATAGGATAATTTAATACTAAAATTATTATAATCTAAAAAATATTGTGATACAAAAAAATTTGTGTATAATATCAAAACCCTTCAGGCCCGACCTGGAACCCCGATCAGGCTCGTTAACCTCCAAAATTGTAAGATATTAAAAATATGGCCTGGGCTAAATCTGGTCTATTCAAAAATATTAAATTTAGATTATATATATTAATCAGATATCTACAGACCCATATTTACGCCCGGCCCGACTTGTATACCCGTATATTAAAAAATATTTTCTCAACAGCCCGAACCGAGCTTGAAATGTTTTTTTTCTTATAAACTCGGACCGGGTCGAATATATTAAACCACGACTAATGACATATATATTTATTAGTGTTGTTAAACGGCTCGTTTTGAGCCGATTTTTATAAACGGCTAACTCAATATTTTATTAGGAAAAATAATATGCAAGCCTTAAGATTTTTCTCATAGGTGGCACAAAGATTTGAACATGTGTTAACGAAATCTCGAGGCTTAGACAATATTTTTCTGGCTAAAATATTGAGTTAACCATTTTTAATAATCGGCTTAAATCGAGCCGTTTAACAACATTAATATTTATAATAAAAAATATATATTATATATTTAAAAAATGTTTCATAGAATGATATATCACATTCATACACATTTTCATCAGATCTCGTTTTGATCTACTATGTTTTGTTTTAATCCAATCTCTCCTTAAAGCTGTAATACGCAAAGGATGAGTTTGCCCATATCTCAATGTCTAATCGTTTAACAATGGTATATGCTGATAGGTTCCAATTTTTTTAAAAATACTGAAAATAGCATTTGAAATAATTTAATTTTTTCTAAATTAATTTATAAATGTGGCAAGGCTAACAGCCAGCTACATCGAGCTCATATTTTAATTTTGAAAAATTTATTTTTTGTAACAATGATAGTCTATATTTATATCTTTAATTATTTTAATTTTTTTTAATATAGGGATTGCTTTAGTTTAGTACTGTTAAGTGACCCGATTTAGGTCGATTTTTAAAAACGCCTCCAATTAACATTTTACCTAAAACAATATTATGTTAGCCTCTAGATTTGGAAGTTGGAAATCCAAACCTTTCTGCCACTTATGAATAAAATCTCTAGGCCTACATAATATTATTTTGGCTTAAATCGGGCCGTTTTTAAAAAACACACTAAATTTAGTACTTCTATATTTTTTGTTCTATCTTGAATCTTTATATCAATTTTTTAAATTTATCTTATTTTGATATTAACTTTTTTATTTTATACTCTTTACCAAACAACCAAACAGATTGAGGTCCATATGCAGGAATTACTCATGGTAAGGGAGAGGGGGGGGGGGTATTAATGTTTTTTTGCAATTATAGGAGTTATTTACAAATTTAAATATAAATTAATGATAAAATATTAAATTTATATCGGCGTACGAATCACTATAAAATAAATGATTCGAAAAAGAACGTTGTAAAATTTGATATATAAAATTATTTTTTATAAAACAAATGTTAGAAGTATAGATTAATGCACAAAATTATTCTAAAAAAATTATTGCATGTTATAAACTTACAAAATAATATCAGCGATATACAACTTCTTCAACTAAACAATAAATATGGCGGGCATGAATGGCTCGAGGCACTTCCACCTAACCCTTGATAATCTCTTAACCAATGACCAACTGAGAGCTACCATAGGATTTAGACTTGGATGCTCGATTACACATTCACACACTTGCCACCTTTGCAACCTACCCGTTCAACCAAACGCAAGACACGGCCTAAACTGCTCCCGCAGCCAAGGTCGCCACCTCCGGCATAAAGCTATAAATAAAATCATCCATAACGCTCTTAATAAAGCTAAAATACCTAACATCCTAGAACTAACAAACCTCTCTTTACAAGATGGTCTCAGACCTGACGGTTTAACCTGCACCCCATGGTCCAATGGGAAATCCCTAATTTGGGACGCAACCTGCGTCTCTTCCTTTCCCTCATCAATTAATTCAAACCCTCTTACTAGGGGGGGAAATAAAAAAATTAATAAATACTCAATACTAAATAACTTTATTTTTCAACCCATAGTCATTTCAACTAATGGCAATTTCTCACAATCAACATATTTTTTAAAAAAAATCTTAGCACGTAAA